AAGTTGCCTTGTTAGACAAACTGGTTCAGCATAGATCATTTACTTAAATACATGAGCTTGTCGGGTGGAGCTTAAACATCGCAAACGTTCACCAGCAGGCCAGTATCCACCAATTCAGTGAGGAACGAAACTGAGTCAGATCTGCTTTTGGAGAGGAATAATAACTTGTTCGATGCAGCACCAGTGCCTTGCAGCAAAGTGCTGTAAAGCGAGAAAAATTCTGCATACGTAAACTGCTCAAAACGATGATTTGAACAAGCAGGCACAGTACACACGCATCCTCATTTCTGCAAATTAGTTATGCATTTTACTTGATTGCTATATCGTATGACATTTCCAGTCGCTAGTTCTTGGCATTTATGTTTTTCTTTGGGGGTGAGGGGGGGGGAGGGAGTGACTCAGATGGTAATCATTCGACTGTGCATCTCAGTGAGCTAGGTAAAAGTGTCACGTGTGTCATAAAGTTTTTTTATTAACTGCTAATTCCCTTGGGCAGACAATTCGTCATACTGTGCTTCGGTGCAACCAGTCGACAAACAGCTCATAGAGATGACACGCGGTCAGTGAATAAATAGCATGGCGTTGTGGTGGGTTCGCTTCACGGCCGAAATTCGACTGACTGCATCAGCACAAGGCGTTAGCCGTAGATTTGGATTTAAGTTTCAGTTTCAGCACCGCCGAACAGGCACAGGTCGGAATCCAACGAAGAACGATGAGGTATATTCGGTTCGGCTGAACTTGCTCCTGGCCACTTGTGCTGTTCAATGATTTATGAGAATCGCACGCGCAAGACGATGTATAACAAGCAGCCGGCAGCCTTGTCGGCCTTCGCTCGTTTCTGTCGCTTAATTTCATGTGGTCGATTAGTTGCATTAATATATTTCGTCAGTCAATAAGCGCGAAACAAGGCGTCGTTCCGAACGCCGCGAAACTAGACGCTAAACAGGTATTGAGTGTGTGTGTGTGTGTGTGTGTGTGTGTGTGGCAAGTTAGCAGCGTCCGCCCATGCTTGCCCCTACGTGTCCGTTTTGCGTTTTCGAGTGTTCGTGCCAAACGATGGCGACAGTACTCTGACAATGCTACGTTGCTTTCGATTGCTCGAAAAACTGATGTAAATTTGCTAGGCTAACC